AAGGCAATATCTCAAGAAGGCCGTGAGGGAATTTACTCAAGTTTGACACAAACATCCACTTTATCTCAAGAATGAATTGATAAGGATTTGGTGGCTGCAGGTCAAAGGTCACTGTGACCTCACAAAACATGTTTTTGTCCATAACTGAAGAATTCATTCACTAATTCTGACCAAACTTGACACAAATGTCTAACAGGATAAAATAATGAAGGTCAAAAGGTCAAAGGTCAGCTTGAATGTGACATCATCATGTTTTAACGTCATATCTCAGGAACAGAAGAGGAGACATTTGGTCAGATACTGAATTGGTGACTCTAATCTTGAAACTGTGCTGATTGTATAGATCTTCTGTGTGTGAAGCATCCATGTTTTCACTGACATGGATGGAGACTGTCAGAGACACTGGACTTCACGTCCTTTCCTTTGGTGAAGGATGCTCCAGTGTGCCCTCGGCTGAAGGAGCTAATAAAGGAAGCACTGACGCACCTTTCCTTCATATGAAGAGAGCTCAAACAGCTGTCATCATGACAGACATTCAGATACTTCGGGGTCATTTCACTCAGTGAGGAACCTTCCTGGGCACAAAGCCACCCCTGCACCTATGTTTGGTTGAACCCATGATGTCAGAGATGATGTCAGCAAAAGTATAAAAGCAGGAAGTGTTTGGTTGCCGCCCCCTTAGGAGAGCATGCAGAGTGTGGTGAGTAGGAAACAAAGAGAGCCACAGGTCACATCAGAAACAAACTGAACTTAAAGTTCTGAGAGAAAAATACAAACTGAACAGAAGTGTCTGCAGAGTAAAGACGGAGCCTCGGCTGAACATATCAGAAGTTTGTTTATTCGTGTGTGAGGTGGAGATGTTCAGCTGAAGCTCTGTCAGACTGGATCCAGTCTGCAGCTGTGGTCAGTTGTTAATGACAGCGTCAGTGACCTCCTGTGTGTCTGTAGCTGCTTGTCAGGTGCGTGGACTCACTTTGCTGCTTTAATACGTGCACACATTAGCTTAATTGTTCACCTCGTCCCTGATGGACGGTCTGACGAAGCGTGTGATTAGCATCTTTTGGATTAATCCTGGACAGCAGGCGTTTCTAATGCTCTGAAAGTATTATATTTCTTATTAAATGTCACTGAAAACAGTTTATTTATTTTAAACATTAAATCTGCACAGTAACGTTACGTCTAAACTTGTTAAGTTTTTAATTTAAGGTGGAATAACTTTTTAAAGGTGAGACCTAAAATACACTTAAGTCTTTATACCTCAAGGTGTCATGTTTTTAGGTTGTTCGTCTGTCAGTCCAGTTCTCTTAAATGTGATATCTCAAGAATGCCTCGAGGGAATTTCTTTAAATTGGGCACAAACGTTCACGGATTACAATTTGATGGTCAGAGGTCACTGTGACCTTCTGTCTGTCTTATTCTCATGAACAAGGTATCTCATGAACGATAGAAGGGAATTTCTTCTAATTTGGCACAAACATCCACTAGGACTCACAATGAGCTGATTAGATTTTGGTCAGGGGTCAAAGGTCAAGGTCACGGTGACCTTGTCTGTCTCGGTGGACTGGTGGGCGGAGTCATACAACCACAGGGTGGACTGGTGGGCAGGGTCATACAACCATGGGGTGGGGACGACCAGTAGCTCACCTGGTAGAGCAGTGTCCCATGTACCAAGATGTACCAAGATTGTGTAAAACTATTGTGATTAAAATCATCTTGAAATAGTGTTTGGACGACACAGGCTCTCCCCTCCCTGGAGCCTCCCGACCCGCCATGTTGATGAAGATGTTCTTTGGATGGTCAAAAGATAAAAAAGGACTTTCAAATGATGACAGCTGTGTATCAGATTTCTGAATTTGTGACCAGTAGGTGTTTATTTAGATCATTTACATCTAAAGGTCAAGTGTCTGAAACACAGTGAGTCTTTGTTACATGACGACATGTTTAAAATGGATCCCTGAGGGTTTTGTTTTCTGGACACAGATCAGCTCGTGCCTTTAAACACTGTCTCACAGACTCTACAACACAGATAGTGAGTGCAGATTCAGCTCGGTCCGAGTGGACAGATTTATGGCAGAGACGGCAGGTTGAAACAACCCGGAAGTTTCCTGACTGATGGCTCTGCGCAGGTTGTGTTCAGACGGTGCTGCAGCCTCACTGTTGTCAGCAGAGCTCTGATACGTGTCCATTAAACTGGGTTTGGCTGAAGGCAGTGCGGTGGTGACGGTCTCTGCTGTAGAGTTTATCTGAAGCCAAATAAAAGAAGGAGCTGCTGGCGGGAAACTCCCAGAGTTCAGCAGCCTGCGTGGGGTGACGGAGCCCAACGTAAACTGGGAGTACTGGGTTTTATCATAGGCAAGGCAATTTTATTTATATAGCACCATTCATACACAAGGCAATTCAATGTGCTTTACAAGAGAAATACATTAAAAACAATAGATCATTGAAAACAAAAGCTAAAAGCAAGACAATAAATAGTTAAAAACAGTGCAGAAAATGCATTTAAAAAGCAAACATAAAGCAACAGCAGACAAATATAAAAACAATAGCTACAGATTATCCTAACAATAAGTTACATATCTAGTTCACTGGTAAGCTGCAGTAAATAGTAATGTTTTAAGCCCTGATTTAAATGAGTTGACAGTTTCAGCCGACCTCAGATATTCTGGAAATTTGTTCCACAGGCGGGGAGCATAGAAACTAAAGGCTGCTTCACCTTGTTTGGTTTTGATCCTGGGAACACTGAGTAAACCTGTTCCAGATGATCTGAGGGGTCTGGATGCTTCATAACGTACAAGTATATCAGAGATGTATTTAGGCCCGAGACCATTTAGTGCTTTATAGACAAGTAACAAGATTTTAAAGTCTATCCTTTGACACACAGGAAGCCAGTGCAGTGATTTAAGCACTGGTGTAATGTGCTCCACTCTCTTGGTGTTGGTGAGGACTCTGGCAGCAGCGTTCTGGACGAGCTGCAGTTGTCTGATTGATTTTTTACTCAGGCCTGTGAAGACACCGTTACAATAGTCCAGCCTGCTGAAAATGAAAGCATGAACAAGTTTTTCTGTATCTTGTTTAGACAGAAATTCTTTTATTCTTGCTATGTTTTTAAGGTGGTAGTAGGCTGATTTAGTAATTGTCTTAATGTGACTATTGAAATTTAGGTCTGAGTCCAGAACTACACCAAGATTTCTGGCTTGATTTGTAGGTTTTAGTGTCATGGCGTCAAGGTGAGCACTGACTATTGATCTTTGTTCTTTGGGGCCAAAAACAACTATCTCAGTTTTTTCTGTGTTTAGTTGTAGAAAATTCTGGCACATCCACGTATTGATTTCGTCAATGCACTTATTTAGCAGATGTAGGGGACTGTAGTCATCTGGTGACACTGTTATGTAAAGTTGTGTGTCATCTGCATAAGTATGGTAGGAGATGTTATGATATTCCATAATCTGAGCAAGAGGGAGCATATAGATGTTGAACAGAAGAGGCCCAAGAATGGACCCTTGAGGAACTCCACATGTAATCTTTGTTCGCACAGATTCATAATTGCCAAGTGACACAAAGAAATCCCTGTCTTGTAAATAAGATTTAAACCAATTTAGCACAGTGCCAGAAAGTCCCACAAACTTTTCTAGTCTGTCGAGCAGTATGTTATGGTCAACTGTGTCGAATGCAGCACTGAGGTCCAGTAATAACAGAACCGAAATCTTTGATGCATCACTGCTCAGATGAATGTCATTTAAAACTTTTACAAGTGCAGTCTCAGTGCTGTGATGTGCTCGAAATCCAGACTGAAAGGCATCAAAGGAACTGTTTTGCTCCAAGAAGGTGTTAACATAAATATTACATCAGCTTCAGTTAGCAAAACAAAGGATTGTATGTCAAGAGTTTGTAACAAAGCTGGATGCTGCGCAGGTTATTATTTCTCCAACTGTGAAGCACAACATAAAGGGTTACATGATTAAAATTAATACAGTTATTATTATCATTAGTAAAATTAGTAAAAATGTCTAAAAAAAGATAATAAATTGTCCAAGAAAATGTTGATAAATGTTTTTAAAAAAATCTGATTAAAATGTCCAGAAAATATCAATGAAATATCTGAAAAAGACTTTTTAAAAATGTCCGAAAAATATTATAAAAATGTCTGAAAAATATTTTTAAAATGTCCAAACAAATGTTATTGAAATGTCTGAAAATATTAAGAAAATGTCCCAAAAAGAAGTTTAAATAACTTTCTGAAAAATATTGTGAGGAGTTTTTTTTTTTTTTTTTTTACACAAACTTCCGTTAACAAAATGGTTTCAAGCATCACTATAGAAATAAAACATTTGTTAACCCAGCAATAACTCTTCTGTTTTCACTGCTTTGAGGCTCATTCTGACTGATGATAATATTAACTGTAACACTGTGAAACCGCAGTAATCATATTGTGAAAATCTCGTTGCAACCCTGGACACACCTGTGGAGTGATGATGCTGTTTAATCAGCCACACCTGTCGGATGGATGGATCATTCTGAGAAGGAGAAGAGCTCACTGACATGGATTTGAAGAACCAAAATTCGAGAGACGTATTTATCTTTAAGGTTCATAAACACTCACAGATCTTTAACTTAAACCTGAGAGAAACTGGAGTCTTAACGTCACATGTAGCTGAGAGCTGAGTCAGAATTAAAACAGGAGATTGAATTTAAAAACCAGTGTCTGTTGAATCCACAGAGATTTTTACACCAATTAAATCTCCCTGTTTATAACTGAACTCCAGCAGAATAATAACAGCCGTTTTCTTTTCTGCAACGATGATTAAAATAAACGGATAAACATCTCCTGTGTTGTGATGCTCTGATGATCTGATGCTTTATGTATCAGCTGATTTGATGTTTTGCATATTGAGCCGAAGGAATCCTAAAATCCCGTCGGAGCAGAACTTGGCCGCAGACACACATCAAACCTTATTAACGATATAATCTCTGATTCCTGCTCTGCTCTGTCTCCCCTCCAGATGTGTGTGTGTGTGACTCGGAGCTGGGCTCCCCCGGGTGGAGGGAACCTCTGGACTGCGTCCGAGCCTCTGAACTGTGCAACCAGAACAGCCAGTGCAGCTCACGTTACCGGATCATGCGCCAGTGCCTGTCCGGCGGGGACAAAGAGCGCAGCACCATGCTGGCCTCCAAGGAGTGCCAGGGGGCGCTGGAGGTGCTGCAGGACTCGCCGCTGTATGACTGCCGCTGCAAGAGAGGCATGAAGAAGGAGCTGCAGTGCCTGCAGAACTACTGGAGCATCCACATGGGTCTGACTGAGGGTAAGCCTCCGACACGGAGCCGTGTGGAGAGTTAATTAAGCCTCCTGCTGCCTGTTGATTTCCCCTCAGTGTTGAGAGCTGCCAGATGAGACGCAACAACTTCTGGTGTTATTGTGAGAACTTCACACATGCAGGAGGTCAAAGACGCTCGGCATCGATTGTTGTGTGGGTTTGTGTTTGAATGTTGCCTCAAGTGCCAACAGGGACGAACAAGTGGAGAAAACAACCAGCGTGTTGTTGGCTTTACTTTCATTTAAAGAGGATCTGCACCCGTTTCACTCCTCAGTGTTTCCAGGTGCTCAACACAGTTAGGTTGGTTTCCGGTTTTTCGGTCTGGTGTACGAGTTTAAACCGGTTTTTGTTTTATGCAAATTAAAAAGAAGCCTACATCATCAACCTGTGCTGACAGCGTCACAACTCTGAATCCAACTCATACTAAATTAGTAATAAGTAATATGACTATGAGACTAGTATAGCATTATGTTTATAAACAAACTAAGGGAGCCACGAGTGTCTGACAGGCTGTGACCGAGTCCGTCAACATGAAGGAGATCATATTCCAGTAGAGAAGGGCAGAGCTGCTCACGCTGTTTTTGTTTACTAAACTTCATGTGTTTTTTGGGGTGACGAGAGGAGACATGGGTACGACATCAAGTTTGATGTATGCAGACTGTACAATGACATCGCCCACTGACTCACAAGCTACGACATACAATGTATGTCGGGGAGCCCTTCAGTGTGGAGTTTGCATGTTCTCCCTGTGTCAGTGTGGGTTTCCTCCAGGTGCTCTGACATGTTCTCCCCATGTACGACCGCAGGATGGGGGAGTTGTTTTGTTTTTAAGTCGACGTGGGAGGAAGTAACAATGCCTAAAATGTGTTATGTGTGTGTTCCACTGTGGGAAATTTAAAAAGTAGCTGTTAGCAGTTAGTGGCTAACTCAAAAAAGGCAAACAGCGTCCGAAAATGTCCATAGATGATAAAAACAACGAGGTCCAGGAGCTCCTTACCCTCCGAGCAGAGGACAAGATCAACCGCCATATAACAGGGACGCTATATGATTGTTATTGACATGTGATGTCATTGTTGTTGTTTACAAAGAGCTGCTGACACGTGTCACGCCATCACGCCTCTTTTACTTCTGTGATGTCATCATGCTGTGTAAAATCACACACTGGAGCATCATGATGCCGCCGCCGTTTGGTTCTGTGTAAAGACGAGACTTTGTAGCGGCTCTGTGGCACCACCTCTGAGTGAAAAGGGCTATTACGTTTAGCTCAGGAGCGTCTGCTGAGTCAAGTGTGACATCTGGGGCCTGTATCATGAAGCAAGATCAACCTTTCCTGGGTTACCCAGACCTATCCTGGGTTGACTAACCCTAACAATGGCAATCAGGATAATCAGTATCAAGACGCTGGATATCAACTCGGTAACTCAACCCAGAGTTGCTTTATCAATAGCCGTGAACGCGCACGCAGCGGACCAATCACAATCATGAGAGAAGCACAGCGTCACTGAGCATCCTCACAGAGCGCCGTATGTGAGGGGAAAAAGAGGTATTTCTCGTGAGGATCAGAGATTAATTCTACTAAAATATGAGAAGGAGAAAAGCAACATTAGAGAAAAGGCCAACACCGTGGCAGCTGCAGGAGGAGGAAACATGCGTGGCAACACATAACGGGATGAATAATGTTTAGTTTCAGTTCAGATTAGTTTATTTGCACATAATGTTGAAAACAGACAGTATAACATTTACAAGATTAAAAAAGAAAAGTGCCGGAGAGGTTAGAAGCACATGATAAAGAAGAAAAAAAAAACGGGTGAGGAAAGAAGAAATAGAGGAGGAGAGAGGGAAAAATCAAGACAAAGGTAGGTTAAATGACTCATCACTGGTTCAAGTAGCTACAGTACCTGTACCTGTACATCTGACACTGATCACACCCTTGAATCCCATGAAATCAATGCTGCGCAGATGAATTGCGTGTATTACAATTATCGTCTAACATCATTGCGTCTGATAAATTGGTCTTCTTTGTCATAACGTTATATATGCTACAATAAAGCTTAAAGCTGACGCCACAATTAAATCATATCAACACCAAATTGATAGTCTGAATAAAATCATCCTGATATTGAGCTGTGTTAGAAATTAACAGCTGCACAAAAATATAGCTAGTGTCCCTCTTTAAAAAACAAAAAGGAAAATCCCTCAAACACCATGAAGTGTAGACATGATAGGCTACTTTCCACATTTCCAGCAGCAAAGCTGTCAATTAGGCCCATTATCTTTAACAGGGATCATTTCCTCCAACAAAACAAAATGTTGGCACTAATTAATGGTGCTATTAAGTGTCTGCAAATGATCAGTTTCTTTCTTATGAAGGGGTGGGATGAAAGTTCCACTTCTTTCCACTCCTTTTTGAACAATCTTTTCATTGTCTGTTGTTGTTGCTTTCTTTTCTTTTTTAATGTTCAAAATAAACTTTCAAATCAAAATCAATCAAATGAATTAAACTTCCCGTCATGACTGGGCTGCATTTCTGTCAGCCATCAACAGCTGATTGGCCAGTGGGTGGTGCTTTTTATAGGATCAGATTCAACCCTGAACTTACCCTGCTCCGGAGCAGGATAGCCGTTCAGAGTACGTTACCATGGTGATCTACCCCGATAAGAACTGAACCGGCTTCGTGAGACCGAAAACCCAGGGTTAACCCTGAAGTTACCTCGCTAAGACATTAATCCTGCTTCGTGATACAGGCCCCTGGTAAAATTCAGTGCACTGTGGCTTTGAAGACTACAAATCTGTGAGCACCATGTTGTGGCAGAGAAGAAGAATGTTTCAGTGTTTGTGGTTCTGCTGCATCGATCCTGATCCTTTGTTTTTAAACCGGTCCAACAGTGTTCTAAGAGTGCAGTGATAAATCTCTTCTAACAATGACTCGTGTTGTTGTTGTTGTTGTTGTCGTTGTCATTGTAATGTGCTGTGGGAATTTTAATAGAACAAACAGGCACATCAGATGAAACATTCTTTGACTGCAGAGCTGCTGTGTTTGGAGTCACCTGGCCAACGTCTTTGGTTGGTTCAGGTCCCACTGCTGGCCCTGCACTGTGTTCTGTGTGTGTCAGCACCACACACACACACACACACACACACACACACACACACTTACGGCCGGTTGGCTGGCCTAGTTTGGGTCTCAGCAGTGGCAGAGCTCATTAAGAGCCTCTCTCTTTGTTCTCCATTCCACTAAGGATGCCTCTGTGGTGCCAGCAATGCTTGCAAAGCCCCTGCATTTCACACACACACACACACACACACACACACACACACACACACACACACACATGCGTGGTGGCGACACACAGAACATACATTTAAGCTGGACCAAGTGTGCGACTACACAAAGACATTGTGTCAGACGTCTGTAACACTCAGCGTGATCAGCAGCACGACTTCACGTTGTGTTCAAGGACAGACAGCGTGGTGCGTTTGAGTGTCTGTGGTGCGTTTGAGTGTCCGTACAGAGCGGTCACACACAGCTGACTGTTGAAGGTGTCTTGGAGGATATAAAACATTTAAAGTATCCCCTCTGACTGTTTTTGGCTCAGTACCCCTGAACACAACACGACCTCCTGATGTGAGCTCACGCTGTTATAACGTTAGTTTTCTGCTGTCATATTAATTACACACAGGACAGGAAGCTTCTGGTACTTAATGACTTTTTAATACCAATGTAATTAATGTTACTCCGTAATATTTGACGCAGTGTTGTATTTTTTTATTTTTTATTTCTCCTTCCTTTGTGTCACCCTGAACAATTAAAATATCACAGTATTGAAATCACACAGTGTCAAGACAATAAAATGCAATATGAAATAAATGACTTCGCCCATTAAACAATAATGGAAACAACAAAATGGCCACAAACAAACAACACTAGATGAATAAATAAAAACAAGAATGTTCAAAGACACAATGAAACCTATGTCAGATTTACCAGTTTTTGTTTTAGTCACTTTTTGTTTAGTCTAAGTTGATCAGGGAGAATATTCCAGATGTTAGCTTAACTGGTACCAGGTGACCAAAAACCAGTAAGTGTGGAATGTTTTTCCAGACGACAGTATGCATGAATCAACAGTATTGTTTATCACATGCATCGCTGCATTTCCAGTGAATATAGTGGAATGAAAAGCATTTGTTTCTTTAGAGACATCACTGAGCTTCCTGCTGAGTGGGTGGGCATCACAAGTGACAATTTCACTTAGACATTGCTGCATTTCCTGCAGCAGTAGTAGGCATCCAAAGCAGTTGTTTTTTATGGAGCTATTGCTGCATTTCCAGCGGGGGCAGTGGCGCCAAAATTGGTTGATTTTTACTACGACACTGTTGCGTTTCCAGCTGGGATGGAGCTATAAAAAGTAGTTGTTTTTTAACTAAGATGTTGCTGCTTTTCCAGCGGGGATAGTGGGCATCAAAAGCAGTTGTTTTCTATGGAGACATTGTTGTTTTTCCAGTGGAGAGAGTGGCACAAAAGTAGTTGTTTTTTACCAAGATATCCCTGCATTTCCAGTCGAGATTGTCAGCATCAAAAGCAGTTGGGTCTTTTTTGAACCGAGACATCACTGCATTTACAGTGAGGAAATTGGGAATCAAAAGTGGTTGTTTTATACCCAGACATCACTGCATTTCCAGCTGGGATAGTGGTACTAATAGTGGTTGTTTGTCACCAAGACATTGCTGCATTCCCTGCTGGAATAGTAGGCATCAAAAGTAGTTGTTTTTTACAGAGACATCATTGCTTTTCCAGCAGGGATAGTGGCCTGAAAAATGATAGTTTTTACTGAGACATTGCGAGGATAGAAGCATCAACAGAGGTATTTTTTTTTACCAGGACATCGCTGCATTTCTAGCAGGACATGTGGCAATGCGATTGTTTTTTACTGAGACAATGCTTCATAACCGGGTGAGTTAAAGGCACTAAAAGCGGTTGTTTTCTTGAG